GTTATTGTTTAATAATGATAGGATCAATCAAAGATTCACCATTGATTTTACTTGATTTATTTAATCATAGATGTTTCTCATAAACCAAGTTTCAGTATCTCCAATTCCACGAATAACTCTAGAACTCATAGTATTTCGGATTATCATTCTATTAACTTAAACATAACTAAAGTAAAACAAAAGGCAAATTACTTCGAATGTAAACAGTAAAGGCCTGCATTCTTACAGAAACAAATCCTGCATTCATTTCAACAAATCCTCTTCAGGTTCCACAGTTGTATATCAAAATTAATAATCCAAAAGGTGGCCATGTTTAAGACAAAAATATCGTTTAAAAATTATAGAATTGTAAAATAATTAAAAACTCTGTTTTTAACAAATGGTTTCTAGTTACTTTCGTGAGATGAGCAATATGTTCCTTATTATTCACTAGATGTATTAAACTTCTAGGTATTTCTATTACCCCGTTTCACCGTATCGTAAATATAACCTTAATTTGAGAAAATAATTCTCATTGTAGAATAGTCGTTAAGGGTTTCTCAAAATTAAATAACATCATTTTCATTGTGATAAAGTCAAAAAATCTTCTATTTTGAGTATAAAAATTACTTTAATTAAAACTGTCATTTGTAAAAAGGTTATCCGTGGACGTTCCAATCTTTCTAATCTTGAATGATTGGTGTTTGTAAATATTTATTAGAAGCACTATCCAATTATACATTAATTATTTGGTAAGCGTTTCTTAAGCAGGATAAGATTTATCTTCAAGAAGCTTGATTTTTCGAGATAATAAGTCTTTAAATTGAATCTTTTGATTAATCAAACTACGAACTTCATAAATCTTCGTACGGTTTATTTGTTGCTGAAATCAGCAATGTTACCAGTCATTCAACTACACGTCAAATCACTTGGTTTCAGTCAAGAAAAACTAAGCAACTATTCTGTCTATCTATGTAGTAACAGCTTTCGAATATAATGCCATCTGTACTAAGACGCACTAAACTGACAATTACAAGAATTTCATGCAGTTAGTTCCCTTTATGAATTTAAATAAAGATAGAACAAATATTGATGCAGAATAATATGAATTCATTATATTTCGTGGTTTCTCATCAGCTGCTTACAACCAAATATGCATTAGAGTAATAAATAATGTGGAACAATTGACATAATTGAATGTAAAGGATTGGAATAACGAAAGTCATCGATGAGAACTATATATATGGGCAAGGAAAGGTCAGAGGTTATTAGGTATTGAAATAAAGCGAGGCGTAATAGTTGAGTGGGGTTGAGAGACAGATAAAATCAAAAATGTGATTATTTTAGAGGTAGTTGAAAACAATTAGGGTGGGTTACGTAATAATTGAATAATTTATAGAGGTAGTTGAAAACAATTAGGGTGGGTTACGTAATAATTGAATAATTTATAGGTGTAGTTGAAAACAATTAGGGTGGGTTACGTAGTAGTTGAATAAGATTTGGATAGTTCATATAATTAGGAGAGACAAATGAGCGGAAATGTGTGAGAGAAAGGGTGGTTTAAGAATTGGGTATAAAAAACAACTGAAATATTAACCAAAATTGAACTAATAACAACAACAAAACTGAAACAAAAAGAAAAACAAAAATGGGTTACCAAGGTAGTAATAAGTTTATCACTGTCTCTTTTTGAATACATAGGTCCGGTTTGAGTTTTTTTTTATCGCGATCGCCTCAGCAAACCGGAGGGCAGTTGTACTTCTTTGCTTACTAATGATTTTAAAGGCATGAGAAATGTCGATGCTGTGCCCGGTGTCGAGTAAATGCCGAGCTATCGCACTGTTGAGAGCCATAGACCCTTGCAACCTCAGTTTCTTGGGAACATGCTCAGAAATGCGGACATGCACTCTTCTCTCGGTTCTTCCAATGTATGTGCTTCGGCACGTACATGTAAATTGGTAAATGCAGTTGGAGGTACTGAGAAAAGAGAACTTATCGATTTTGGTTTGTTTGAGTGAGCCGTTTGTTTCCCACACCGTCGTCAATTTAGCTGCTGGGTAGGTCACATTCAACGAGGAATTAAGTCTGTGGTTAATTATCCCAGCGATTTCGTCACCTTTGAAGCGTAGGTATAGGAAGCATGTTTTCTTTTCAACTCGATCATACTTTATTAGATGATTGGTGGTTTGCATATTTGTGGATGAACTTCTCTGGATATGCATTTTCACGTAGGCATTTGGTGATTAAAGCTATTTCTTCCTCAAGACACTCATTGGAGCAGATTTTGCGTGCGCGGTCGAAAAGGGTTCGTACAATACCCTTTTTGTAACTCATCGGGCAGAAACTGTAGTAATTAAGATACAGTCCACTCCAAGTGTTTTTGTGATGAACATATCTTTGTAATGTACAATGTAATTACAAGAATATTTGATTTTCAAAAGCATGCAACAACTTTAAAGATAAACTGACTGAGTTTTACACAACATTTACTGATCTAATGATGTATGATCACATACGATATTTTAATCTTTTGTTATTAAACATTTATCAAAAGATATCACTGATATTCAGAGTTTGGTGGGTGAATTAAATCGCGATATAAATGTTGTCACAGAAATTTGGCTCACTGTAGATGTAGACTGTTCTCCCATCATTTAAGGCTACATCTGTATCAGATGTGATAGAGTTATAAGTCGCAAGGGAGGAAGAACAATGTTATATGTTAGGGACAACTTTCTCATACAATCGATCATATCGAAGGAGCATGTTAGTGGTACATGTGAGGTAGTATGTTGTACAATTAAGTCTAGAAACGGGTTAGTGGCTATGGAGGGAACATATCGTAATCCGTGTTGTCTTGCTGACGACTTTACTACAAGACGCATCTGTTCTTGGAGTAAGGCAACATGTTCTCGCATCATCGGAGATTTTAACACAACCGTTTACCCCATAGTCAATACGTAGGCTATCACATTGCCCTCCATGAATTAGTAAGACACTCGGATGTTGTTGAAGCGGAGGAAACACTTCTGGGACTTAGTCTTGTCAACAAGACACGAATCATTTAGGTGTGAATACCAAAACGTCCGGAATATATGTAAAACAACTATAGCTAAATCCCGTAGCATTTACGAAAGGCAGTTGGCATATGAAAGCCTTACTTGTCTGAAACGATTGTTTTCGTACGTTAAACGGGTAACAAAAAGTTATGACGGTATTCCCCCCTTAATGTTACACGAAAATTCAGATTTACTAGCTGAATCAGATCTACCAAAAGCTGAGACTTTTTCAAACTATTTTACCGAAGTCCACTTGACGTGTATTGTTACAAATACTTGTTCCAATCACACCGAGGTACTAGCCATAGGATCTGTACATGTGACTGGATAATCTGTTCTTCCATTGGTAACCGACCTCAAACCATGCCCTAATGGTTACATCCACGACTGTTGTCATCTCCTGCGGACATTACTTCAGGACCGCTCGCGACGCTCATCAACATATTCCTTTCACTCGCTCAATCTCCTAAGGATCGGAAAGGCGCTCTGGTTAGCCCTATATTTAAGGATTGTCAGAGACAGATCGTATCCAACTACCGACCTCTCAGTCCAATTAGCATAGTCATCAGGTTACTTGAAAAGATAATTCAGGTTAAGTTACTAAGTCACATAAATTCGTACAATCGGTTGGCTCCCGAGCAACATGGGTTTCGTAACAAGCGTTCATGCTTGACTAACTTATTGCGAGAGAGGATTGGACCTGTCTGTCGATATGATATTCATAGATTTTAGCAAAGCGTTTGATAAGGTTTCAAACCTAGGTCTTATGCAGAAGCTCTCGAGCTCTGAAATAACAGGTGCTATAAAGGGATGAATATAAAACTTCTTAGGTGACCGCAGAAAGAGATCGGGGGTCAATGGAACGCTATCCAAAAGGAAGCCGGCAAAAGCAGTGTATCCCAAAGCACCATCTTAGGCCCTCTATTTTTCCTTCTCCATGTTAATGAATTAACTCTATTGCTTAGGTCGTCGACGTTATTGTTTGTGGGTGGTGTCAAAATCTGGAGAGCAATAAGTGAAGCTGATCACTTTCAGCATCAAGCTGACTTGGACGAATAATTCAGACGGGTTCATGGCTAAAGGCTTAGAAGTTAATTCCAGGAAGAGCGTGCTGATGCACATCAGACACGGTAATAGCTAACCTTGTACTATTGATGGTACATATCTTCCACGCGTTCAAGTACATAAAGACTTAGGAGTAATAATAAGTCACGAATTGAAAACAACTACGTACTGAAACACAGCTGCTTCCAAAGGTTATCGTGCATTATGGTCACTTCGCTGAGCATTCAAACGCTTTTATGAGATGTTCCGAATTTTGTGTTTCATCTATGTAAGACTACACCGAGAGTACTGTATCCAAACAACTGGCCCATGTCTTGTTAAGGATACCAACTCACTTGAGCGTGTTGAGCGTGTAGGAACAAAATTAGTGGTCTTACTAAACTCACATAAGAAGAGCGTTTAAAAAGCCTAAACAATTTTCTCTTGTCATATCATAGGATGCGAGGTGACTTTATACTGGCATTTCGTATCTTCAATTACGATTTCGGTGTTAATGTGTCCTATCTTTTTACTCACTCCATCACTGATAATCTCCGAGGTCTCATCGAGTGGTCAATGTTTGTAACGCCTTACCTTGAGAAGTATATATCACCCTCGTAAGTGAACATTTTCAAGTAGAAACTGGACTTTCACTGGAAGGAAATCTGTCAAGAATAATATAGGTTCACCAACCTACTATTCTTAGTAATGAAGACACAAAATTCTGGATCTACGATGTCTCCAAGAGTATACATTTTATTTATTATAAATGTATTCTTTGACAAGATTGAAATAAATATCAAATGAGCAAACCTTGAAACGCTGGTGGAAAATAACCTGGAAAGGCGGTTATACTGCATTCGGAATTGTTTTACCCGTTTCACCTGACGCTCTATAATTGAATTCTAGTTATACGATATGGGAGATTATGCTGAAGCAGAGGGTATCGCTCTGAAACGCTTAGCAGAGGAACGAAAAGCATGGCGAAAAGATCATCCCTTCGTATGTCAACCAACTAATTTTATCATGCCTTAAGGGTTTTGTAGCCAAGCCCATGAAGAACCCTGATGGGTCGTTAGACCTGATGACTTGGAATTGTAGTATACCTGGGAAAAAAGGCGTAAGGTCCATAGTATACTCTTTTTAAAGCTATTTAGACATTGTGGGAGGGAGGATTGTTCAGTCTTAGAATGTACTTCAAGCCGGAATATCCTACAACACCTCCCAAATGCAAGTTTGAGCCACCTTTATTCCATCCCAATGTATTTCCGTCTGGTACCGTGTGTCTTTCCCTCTTGGATGAAGAAAAACATTGGAGACCGGCAGTTACAATCAAACAAGTATCTAGAGAAACTCGTTTTTAACATGCTATAAGATTCTCTTAGGTATTCAAGATTTATTAGATCACCCAAATCCCAAAGATCCTGCTCAAGCTGATGCCTATACATTATATATACAAAACAGAAAAGAATACGACAGTCGGGTTAAAAAGCAGGCTGAGTCTTTTCGAAATCCCAACTTGTAATTTCCTACATTTCATCCCAAGATATAAGATAACCATATAATTGTAAATATAAGACAAACCTAATACTTCAATATAGTTGTTATTCTGTTTTATGCCCCGATGGGCTTTTCTATACTATTTTCAACCTACTCATGCGTTGGAACTCCAACTAGTCCTCAGATAATTTTTTTGGGATGCGATGGAGTTCATTATAAGGACTGAATCACAACCAACACCAAAAGTATCGAGCTGTTAAACTTGTCACTTGTTCTGTTCCTAAGAAATACTTTTTAGTTGAGTTCTTTATGAGTGCTGAATATGGGCCTAGTGGTGTGTTATGAAATAAAAACTACCAAAAGATGAGTTTCACCAATTTGTTCCGTTGACAGTTTTCTTTTCAAAAGCTGTCGGGTGGTGTTGACATGTTTAAAGTTGCAAAATATCTTTTGTTGATTCCTGTCTAACTCAGTTCCTTAGATTCGTAAAATATTGGTGTCTAGGGGATTAGGTGATATATTTTCTTTTACGAACTGAGTGATATTATCTAGTGTCCTGGGATATGGCATCTAACTGCTGTCTGAATGTCGGGATCCAAAGGACACCTAAAGACGCTAATCGGCTACAAGTTGTGAGCGTGAATCCTTGCAAAGACTTAATTTGTTTGTATAGCTTTTCGAATCATGTCTTTTGCTTCATACATCGTGATCAGGTTCATAAAGTCCTCGTCAGGAGTAATTGTATTCGGAATCGTTAAGGAAATAAGTAGATATACATAAAATATGACGACTGTCGTTTGTCACTTACGTCGGACAAAAATTTGTTTGGAGGAGTCGCCACCCTACTTGAACGGAGACGTGTTCGTTCCCAAACACCATCCATTGCGGTTTGAGTTAGTTCAGTCCACCACTTGCTAGGGTTTCCAGACAACCTGTGGCACCCACAGTTCGAAGTTCTTGGTGGGAACTGTAGCTGCTGAGGATTACTTACCGTCGTTCCATTTCATCACACTCAATAAAGTTTCTATGAATAACTACGAGTGATTCCTTCATTTTCTGGTGATTCAGAGGTTGAACTTTTAGTCAGGTTGCATTCATCCTCCCCACATTTTGGTTTTCTGGATTTTACTGGGCAAGAATTATTAGTACAGCTATTGCTAGCGTAGCATATGAAAGTAAATCGATTTTAGGTCTTTATGTTTGTATGGAGCAGGGATGGACTGTTCTGAATCCATTCGGAAATCTAAAATATAACTGCCCCTGTCGTACCGTAACCATCACAATAAATGACGTAATCTCTAACTCTCACTAGGCGAATACGAGTATTGTTTAGGATATTATCTGGCATACACAACATAACTAATATAAAAACTCAACTGACTATAGTGCCACGCTATATATATATATATATATATATATATATATATATATTCATTATATGTGAAAAAAAATTATATTTCTAATCTTGACGAATATTCGTATATATATATTTCCTCCAACTTTTATAGAAATCTTCAGCTAGATAGTGAGCTGAAATACATGTTATATTTGTAAGCACTTGAGTGGATTTTAAGCGACTTGACAATATGAAAATAATTGTTTATTCGAGGTTCAAAGGTTTCTCTTCATAATTTAGATCCATTTCCTTGCAGCATTCCTTCGACAGAAGCTGGGACCTCGTGTTTAAAAGAATCTGCTTCCAAACAAAAAGCCACAGGTCCCGACTCCTCACCACCCACTTCATTTTGGGTATCTGGTTAATATTGCCAGCCCTCACGCAAACTATGACCAAAGCCAAGTGCATAGTTACGTACACGGTAAGTGGATTATATCTTTACACCTTGCTTCTTTCAGAGATACAGGATGTCGTCGATGGAACCATTAGGAGGGGTGGTGACTGTGAGTTGCCACACCCGATCTCCTGGTTTGAAGTAAGGATGAAAAGAGTTATACTTTCACTCTACTTTTGATCCTCCTGCTAAACCTTTGAAGATGTCAATGAAATCCTCTTCCCTAGGTTATTCCAGCTCACTATATCTTGCTCAAAAAATAAAAAGCTGCACAGGTATAATAAATAAGACTTTATTCTGCAAAAAGATTATCAACACCTGAGTATCTGATATAGTGACGTGACCAGTACATCCACGATCTGAAGGGAATCTGGCTAGTTGTTTACTAGTCAGTCATTCACATGTTTAGCACAAATTTTCCGTACTACCGGCTAGTCGTTTGTAACACTGTAGCCGACTTCTATTATCACATATACTTTCACAAATTAGCAGAGTACACATAACCGATGTAGACAGTTTTTTACTCTCCAGATGCCTACAAACCATCAACGAGAACGATACAGTGGTAAGCTATGATGTACCTTTATACATTAGTATTTCGAAGGACAGATGTTTAGACATTCAGGTTTACTAGTGAATAACAATATTCTCTGGCAAATGTCTACTAAACGTCAGTTTAATCATCAAATACCTCACGCTGTTCACATCCATGCACATACTCAATTTTTAACTTCACACTGCGAATTATTCATTTCTCACAACCACCATCATGGACACAAATGGAAACAGTGATGTCTCACACAGAATCGCCTTGACCAATGATGGCATTACAGTATCATGTTTAAACCTATTGTAATTTTGATTGCACTAAAAATATTCTGCTTTGTTTCCTTCGTACTACATAAACTTGTTAATCTTACTTCCGTTATTTACTTGCTTACTCTAAGGAAGTAAATTACACTGAGTCACGGAACGTCAGAAATACATATCTCTACTCATTGAGATACCACAAAAATATTTGTTATCATCGTTTAAGCTCGTTTCCTCCCGTTTAAAACTAAAGACACCAATAGCCCCCCCTGGTACGGCCGAGAGTGGGGAGAGTCTACTCTCCCTCTCGAAATGCTCTCATATGGCCAGCGAATATATAGCCTCTGCCAGGGAAGTCCTACTCACTGCCTTCTCGTGGCGGGGGTGTTGTTTACGAAAGTGAGAGGACGAAAAGCGAATGTCCGGCGCTATAACCGGATTGGTGGACACGGAGGGTCCACCTAGGGGAGTTGGAAAACCCTGATTCCAAACCAATGGTGCACATGGGCTCCAGTATCCTGATGGAACGAATGGCGGACGAACCTGTCATTGGTCAACGGCTACCATGGGACTGCATCTCCTCACGATGCTCCACTGCCTTGTGGATCAGACCTTTAGGTCAAAGGCTCGGGGTGTGGTCCCCTAAGCAAACCACCTGCTTCGGTTTGGGCACCCGGGCAGTATCACAGCCCACACACAAATGAATGAAATGATGAACTCTGTTGACGATTCTATTCCTGCTCATATTATAAGCAAGACAATTTACATTATTATTATTATTACTTACCATATCGCTAATTCACCCCCTTTTATCCCCAATTTGTGTAACCTTACTCTTCAACTTATGCAGCAGCTCGCTCTTGGTGGAAAATCTGTCCTATCTAAACGATCTCCAGTCACTGTCTGGTTGAAAGTGAATGCTTCCACCGATTATGAATACTGAGGCAGTCTTTCTGAAACCACGTACGCCGTTCAAGCTGGCTTCCTTCAACGTTCGCACACTAATGCAGATCAGACAACAGATAGGGCTGGCTATGTCTTTGGAAGGTCTTAATGTTGACGTTTGTTGTCTATCCGAGACCCGTATTCAAGACTCTAGTGAAGTACTACAAATCCGCTCTCCATCTGTCGCCTCGAAAAGCTTGTTCCACGTGCGCTTATCCGGGGACCCTGTGGCATCTTCGTCTGGTCTTGCTGGCGTTGGCGTCGCACTAAGCGCTAGGGTTGAGGCAGCACTAATCGATCGGATCCCCATTAACAGTCGGTTATGTGCTGTTAGATTAGAAAGTTCCATCAAAGTGAGAAGAAACCGGCGTGAGAAACGGTGTCTTTTCGTCATCTCCGCCTATGCTCCGACAGATTGCAGCCCGGATGCAATCAAGGATGAGTTTTACCATCAGTTAACAGTTCTTCTCCAGAAAGCGCGTTCGACAGATATTGTAGTACTAGCCGGAGACTTGAATGCACAGGTCGGGCGTCTAGGCATAGAAGAGAGTCGTCTAGGTGGCCGATGGGGACTTGTTGGTCGCAGGACAGATAACGAAGACCGTTTGCTGCAACTGTGCACAGATGACAACCTGTTTCTGGCCAGCACCAACTTCCGGCACAGTCATCGCCGGTGTGCCACCTGGCGTCCTCCCTCTGCATCCCAAGCCTGGACTCAGATTGATCACATCGCGATCAGCTACCGCTGGCGTGGTTGTGTACAAGACTGCCGCTCCTTTTGGAGTACCTATCTGGAGTCTGATCATGCCCTGGTCTGCGCCAAACTCACCTTACTTTTCAGTGGCCGAAGGATTGACCACCACCAACGGATTGATATTAGTAAACTGGCTGCAACTCCTGTTGCAAGTAAGTATCGAGCGTAGCTAGCCTCTAGGCTAGCTACCATCCCACCGAAAAGTATAGATGAGCATTGGTTGCATCTTCACGACGCCATGAAAATGGCGAGTAAAGCCGCTTGCGGCTTCGCGAAACGTCCCGCTTACAAGCACTGGGTTTCTTCTGGCTCCTTACAACTGATGGAAGCCCGTCGGTCTACTCCGAGTGACCGTGAGTTTGACCACAAACGAAGGCTGTTACGTAATGAAATTGGGCAAAGCTTGCGTAAGGACCGAGAAGCCTGGTGGTCGGAGCGTGCTAATGAGATGGAAGCAGCAGCTGCATCTGGTAACTGCCGGAAGCTCTTCCAACTCATCCGAGCCACTGGCAGCAAGAAGTCTGGTGTGAGTGAAACAATCTACGAGGATGATGGGATGCCAATCACTAACATCTCCCGAAGTCTTGGACGATGGGCGGAATTTTTCGAAGGGCAGTTCAACTGGCCTGCTGCTCCGGCAACATCAACCAGCTTGTCCTGCCCCCCATGGCCGGTGACGACTGTTCCACCAAACGAGGCGGAAGTCCGCAAGGAACTCCAACTCTT